CGGGGAAGATAGTGCAGTTGAACAATAGTCTTTATGGCTTGAGGCAGGCATCTAGGGAGTGGTACGCGTTGCTCAAGAAGTGTCTTTTGGCTTTGGGGTTCGGGCAGTGCATGGCTGATTCTTGTGTTTTTCGTTTTGTCGAAGAGGGGGAAGTAGTGTTGCTTCTAGTAGTACACGTAGACGATATTTTTGCAGTGGGGACGAAGGAGAGATGTGATCAATTCGGGAAGGACCTGGGAGAGTACGTGCCGGTGAAGTCTCTGGGGGAGTTGAAGTGGTACTCCGGTTGCTATTACGAGAGGGACAGAGAGGCAGGTAGGCTGACGATTTCACAGCAGACATACACCGAAGAGTTGGGAGAGAGATATGGTGTGGAGTGGGGGGGAGGCATTCCTTTGCCCACCACCTGGAAACTTTGGGACTTCGACGCGGACGAGCCGAGCGTAGAGCACCCGTTTCGAGCGCTGGTTGGGTCGCTGCTGTGGATTGCCCTGTTGACTAGGCCGGATATCGCGAATTCGGTGAGAGCAGTAGCGAGGTACTCTGGTGCACCGAAGTTGATTCACTGGAAGGCTGCACTTAGTATTTTAGGATATGCAGTTAGGACTAGTTCTTTCGGGATTTCTTTTCAGAGTGGGACGGTTTCGGGATTTTCTTTGATCACGTTTGTCAACGCAGATTACGCTTCACGTGCGGCAGACCGTAGGTCGGTTTCGGGAGGGGTAGTGATGTGTGCAGGAGGGGCAATTGCATGGTTCTCCAAGACTCAGAAGTGTGTGACTTTGTCTACCACGCAGGCTGAATACGTGGCAATGGCGGACATGGGGAAGGAGATTTTGTTTTTGAGGCAGGTTTGGCGTTTCATGTTGCCGAAGGAGTTGCGGCCATGCATTCCACTGTATGAGGATAACGAAGGTGCTATACAGATCGCAAAACACCCGATCTCGAATTCCAACTCGAAGCACATCGACGTGCGGCATCATTTCCTCAGGCAGCTCGTAGATGAGAAGGAGGTAGAGATCATCCACGTAGCGTCGCAGTATCAGCATGCCGATTTCCTCACGAAGGCGCTACCTGAGAGAGAGTTTGTTTTCCACCGGGACTACGTGATGAATTTGAAGTGAAAAGTCCAGGAGATTCTTTTTGCCTTCGAGCTTTATCTAGTCTATGTCTTTGTCTTATCCGATTTGTTGGCTTTTGTGTTGATTTGTTTCATTTTCTGAGAAATTGAGTTCAGGGTTGACCGGTAGAAATTGCCGAAAGTGTTTCTGGTTTAATGGTTGGCAATGAATGCAAACCGATGGGAAACCTAACGAATGTTTCTGGTTTAAAGGTCTTAAGTGTTAGGAAAAGAACACACTTTAAGACGAAGGGAATGTCTTGCGCTGTATTTTGTTTCAGGTTTTTGGTGTGGGAGGATAGTAAGCATAATATATTTAAGTCCGGGTGTAATCTTGCCAATGCAGCGAGTAGCGGGGCTGTTGGACGTACTCACAGCATCGACAGATTATTGCAAGCAAGATTNATATGTGCGTCTACAACGGATATTATGGTGACTGCTGTGCGTTGTGGTTTCTCACTTGTTATTGTTTCCTCTTTTTTCCTCCTTCGTGTGTGCAATCAAGTCCTTTTTCCCCGGCTATCACGCCACGGCTACCACGCCAATCCCGTCTATCACGCCACCCGGCTATCACGCCTTCCGGACATCCACGTCCTTACTTATACATATACACCACGATTATCACGTCACCAGGCTTCCACGCCACATCCAGAGATATCATACCCGAGCTATCACGCTCCATCCCAAAGGAGAAGGCTGTCACGCCCATCATAGTTCCTACACTGTACCGTTGGCGGCTACCGCGCCGCTGGCTCTTATATTTCCCAACCAAGGGACCCCGCGCGCCAAGGCACCGACGCACAAAGCTACTCAACAGCTCTGTCCCCTTGTTCCTCTCGTCTTTTTCCTCTCTCTCCTCTCTCTCTAGACTATTGTAGCTCTCGCTCTCCACTGGCCGTATCCAGCCCCGAAACATTCACGGATGGGCTGCGGAAAGCCGCCACCCCTTGTGGATCAATGGCAACACGGGGTGCAAAGCCCGATACACAACGCACACAAGTGCTGGTTGCGCTCTGCAGCAGTACTGAAACGGAAGTTGTGAAATTGCTCCCGAGTCGACCCGCAGATATTACATCATATGCGAACGGTACGGTTTCTCCCTCCAACTTAAAATCAACCAAGACATGCTACCAACAGCAGTAGACCGCAGTAGGGGTTGCAGGGGCTCCACGTCGTGCTTGGCTGTAACTTACAGTAGTAATGCGGCCCGTGCTTTGTTCTCTCTCGCTCCTCCCCGCGGGATCGCCAGCCGTAGTAGTGAGTTGAGGTCCAGTCCACCCTGGATCGCTGACTACTGTCTCCGGTACGTGGGAGCACGTGGGAGGACGCTTCTCCGTTTAGCCACAGCCAAGCCCAACTGAAACCGTTGCTCGCCCCGGCCGACTCCTGCCTTTTGGGCTCCCAGCGAGTTACAAAGCATTCGCCTCGCGGAAGGTGTTATTGGGCTCTTCCATGTGTTACCGCACCGTAATGTAATTTTTGTGCGTCCCATTGCCCCGCTGTTACTTGCATCTCCCGAATTTTGTAGCAAAGAATTTTTTTCTGACCGACACCACCAACATTTCGTTTTACTACTGACCGCCGCCGCCACCGCCGGTGCTGACCATCGAAGCAGCGGGGCAAAGGTACGCACAGACGACCGAGTTCCGATACCTGGGCGGCCTCGTCAACGAGCAGGGCGACCTTACCCGAGAGATCAACCACAGGAGCAAAGCAGCGTGGGCGTGCATTAAGCGATACGCCACGGAGCTCTTCGACCGACCGGGAGCACCGTTTCGCCTCAAAGCCCGCCTGCTCCAGGCGGAGGCAGTGGAGGCA